TCTGTAGCTAACACCTGCCTAAATTACATGTTTAATTTGAATGGTGCAAATACTCCCTTCAGTCACATTACTGTTTCTACATCCACGTGTTATTTGTGCTATGAACATAACTCCTCTTTCTCTTCTGGGCAAAGGGCTTGTTTCCCTCTGGTAAACTAACTTTTCCTGTTGCCTGCTTAGATGACACAATCGTGTACAAAGTCCAGAACCTCCAGTGGACGGCCGATTTCTCCGGCGATGTCACTCTGATGTGGGCTCGGCCAAAAAGAATGTCCTCGACCTCCTGCGTCTACAACATCTATTACAGGTACTCTGCGCGTTACGCTGCACGACCCCTCGCTGTTCGTATCAAGTAAAGGCTGGGAGAAGCGTGAGCACAGGGTCAGTACGCACATGCTTACAGCAGAATACCATATGGAATCAGACCTGAAAGACTGATTGCTGCACAGTCTGGTTCTGCTTGGAAAATCTAGTATTTTGTTGCAGAGCGCACCCAAAATAGCTGTAACTAGGGAGCATTTGTGAAAAGCTGTATTTGTTTCCTCCAGGTTATTTATTCAGACAGTGAAGTGGTTGTATTCAGGGTGTTTTTTTTCCTCTACTTGGGTCTTGTCTTTATGGGACTGCTAACAAAGAGAACAAAGTCATGAAATCAGAGCCCAGCAGTTACAGAAAACCTCAAAGGACGGTGCTTGTAAGTCACTAGGCTGTGTTTAGTTCAGGCTTTAAGAGAGCATCTTTTCAAGCCAGTGGTGCGGCTTTACTGAAAGGGAAACTAAGCAGCAAGCTTTTGAACTGCAGATAGCTGGTGGCACCCTTTGGGACAAGCTGTGCCCCCGTGTTACTAACCAGCTGCCTGACCGGAGGGATGCGACTCTCTTGCGCAGGACGGTTGGTGAGAGCGTTTGGAAGATGTTGGAAACCCACAGCAACAAAACCAACAGCGTTTTGAAAGTCCTCAAGCCTGACTGTACCTATCAGGTGAAAGTCCAAGTGCAGTGTCTCAGCCGAGTCTACAACACCAATGACTTCATCACCCTCCGGGCACCCGAAGGATGTAAGCAGACCTGCACAGCTCGTGTCGGTGACCTGACGCATACCACTTTGGCCTAGAAAGTAGATATCATGGAAGTGTCCTCACATACCACTTTGGCATAGAAAGTAGATATCATGGAGGTGTCCTCATTAGGAACAAAAGGAGTCTTTCCACAGGCCTAGGAAATTGTGCCGGCCTTACAAAAAGGGCTGCGGGTTCCCTGCCTAGAGTCAGTCCAGCACTGAGTCACCAGTCTGCCCTCTCTCTTGCCCATGACTTAGTGGCTTAGTACCACTGGGAAGTTCGTCTCTTCTTACAGTGCCCCGAGGAGCCCAGGGGACTGTTCAGTACTGCACGCACGGAGCAAGATCTTTCCAGCTCAGAGAGGAGGTCAGATTAAGGAAGGGATGAGATAAAGAGCTTAGCAAAATCCTAGCTTCACCCCAGTTATGAAAAGGGCTCCATTGCTCCAGAGCAGGACTGAAAGGGACTCGGGACACAAGTGCAGGGATGAGACATCTCCCACGAGCCAGGACCGCTTGGCCATCCCCACCTGGTCCCAACCTTTCAGGGAGACCCTGGCCTAATGCTGCTTTTCCCCCTGTGATCCAGACACACAACTGTGACTGTCTCTAACACCTCTGTTTCTCTCTCCAGTACCAGATGCTCCCTTTAACCTTCAGCTGTCCCTGAAGAAAGAAGCCGAGGGTGTGGTGACGGGCTCCTGGAGTCCCCCTGTGAACGCCCACGGCCTCATACGGGAATTCATCGTGAGTCTTGCAGCCCTGCGGGGCTGAGTCCGGATCGGCGGTGGGAGGGGGAAGGCTGCTGAGGGCAACTGGCCTTTCTGAAGACAGCTATCTCTGCAGACTGGGGTGGGCCAGGAATAGGACATTTCATAGAGGAAATCTGCTGAGAGCATCGGGCAGGTTGGGAGAAGAGGTGCTGCAGGGCTGTAGGTAGTGACACAGCCCTTGAGTTCATAATTTCATTTCTAACTCCCTTTCTAAGCTTTTGTACTTCATTCTACTGAGATTTTGACACAGAGGAACCTGTCACCCCGTGGTATTGTTGACTCTGGAGCCCTCATCCCTTGTTTTGGTGCTCCTAGGTGGAATACAGCAGAACTGGATCCAAGGAGTGGTCGTCCCTTAGAACCACCAAGAACTACACTGAGATCGAGAACTTACAGGTCAACACATTGTACACAGTTAGAGTGAGTATTTTCAAAGCTCTATCCATGCATGCTCTCAGTACTTTTCACTGGATGGTCTAAGTCCTGCACAGTCGAGTACATTGTTAAAATTCTGCCCTTTAATGCCAACCCACAATGGGGGCTTGGCATTTGCACTGCTAATGTATATAGTTTCAAGGCCTGAATTAAGGCCCTTGATTTGCTCCTTCTCCCAGAAGGCCAGGCTGTATTGTGAAATCTGCGCTACTAATTGCCCATTCCAGTGTCACTGCAATCACAGCAGATCTGGGCCAGAGATAAATTTGGTCCTGACTGTATCACTGGGAAAAGAAGCAGATGTGGGGAATGTGTGCACATGAGAGAAGTTGGGTAATTATGGACAGAACTAATAAGAATAGGAAATGAAAGTCTGCACCTTGGGCCCTGGGAAATGTATACTCTGCCATTGTCCATCCTCCCTGTGCCGGACGAGCATGGGTTCTCGGGGGAGTTCATTGGGAGCTGCAAAAAACCCCTCTCCCCACCCATGAATCAATGTTATTCTTACACTCGTTGGAGTGACTCTTTCCTTCCTTGGTATTCCTTCCTGTACTAATCTGTTCCTAAATTCATCTTTGGAACTAGATTCGGTGCTTGCATAGACTTCACCGCATGGTTCTTACCTACGTTATGGCCGACAGAGTCCAAAGTTCCTTATCTTGATGGACTCCTCATAAAAATCTCATAAGAGAGTGGTTATCTGCAAAGAGGATGTACCTCCCTCCTCTTAGATTCCTTTAATTGACTTAAAGTAGTCTGCTTTATGTCTGTAATAAGCATTTTATTGCCAAGTAATGAAGCTATTGTTTGCTTCAAAGTCCTTTTCCCGTGAGCTCTGCCACATCCGTAACCTTGCCCTAGCCTCATTCTCTGTTTGCATTATACAACGTTGGCGGTGTACATTTGTTCATATTAACCAACCCTCTTATTTGAAAAGGTTGCTGCGGTAACTAGTCGAGGAGTGGGAAACTGGAGTGATTCCAAATCCATAACCACCATAAAAGGCAAAGGTAAAGGTTGTTGTTTCAGTCAACTTGGACAGCATAGCAAAAAAGCAGACTCTAAGGCTGAAGTGTTAGCATCAGCGTGCATAACCACCTCCTCATTCTTTATTCTTCCCTGTTGAGCGTTTTACACCATTTAATAACTTCGTTATCCCATTTCGCTTAACTTGAGCTGCCTCCAAGTTCAGTAGCAAGTCTGAACAGGTTGCCAACTCTTCCTCTGAACTCTGTGGGACGTGCAATGGATGTATTGCCCTGGAAGCGGGCGAGACGCCTGTCCAGAAGGTGCCCCTCTCTCCTGGACTGCAGATGGATGCCCTCTGACTTATTGCCTGACTTGTGTAGGCTAGATTCTACCTTCAGATAGGCAAGACATGTTACCACTAAGTCCTTTGCTATCACTGGTTGAAAGGATGCTTTCTCAGTCTTCTCGTATCATGATTATGAGAGTTTCTGCATCTCATGTAGGTTAGACCACTAAAAGAGCACTAAGGCTCTGAGGAACTATCACAACATTACAGTGTGACAGTTCATAAATTCAAACAACACAGTA